ACACACACACACACACACACACTCACACACACGACACACACACACACACACACACACACACACACACACACACACTCACGCACGCGCACACACACACTCACGTACGTGCACACACACTCACGCGCACACATACCTATATTTATACGGTTGCATGCGCATTTTCCGATGACTTGGTTGTTCAATGAAGAAAGACACTTTTACCTTGGAATCTCTTTCACGTAAATCCTTTGGTTTTATACAGGCGACCCATACGGATACCTCAGATATCTATTATTTACAACTGTGTGTTAATTTAATTGCAGCAAACATGTGGATCGAGGAAGAAGAGAGAGGCGCCGGAGTCCAAGATGGAGGAGCGAGCGGCCGAAGAGCGAATTTTCAACGGCGTTGTTATCGTAATGCCGGAAGAAGATGTGACGTATGCCGAACCAGGTACGTATACACACGGGGATAACAACTTGTATTAATAGTCGTGAGAGATGTATACGCGATGTCTCACAGAATACGGGTTTAAATAACTCTGCGCTTGAAAACCCCGATGGTTTTGCTTCGTTTAGATGGGTTATTTTTCCTTGTGTAGTCGCCGTCTCATAGCTTCCAATTATGATCCTCCTTCGAGGGCCACGGATACTAAAAATAATGCGTCGCATGCTGATATCACACCAGATGCATCTTTCAAGGAAAGGAAACGGAAATACCAGTTTAGAGACATCCTATCTACTTTTGGTACCGCTGCTAAGTTCTCATCGCTATCTCTCTCTCTCTCTCGCACACAGAGAAGACGCGTGATAGCTCGGAGCTATCAGCAAGTAGTATGTGCCTCAACAAGACGGACTTCGCCATCGGCACGACGTTCCTGGGTGCGATCCTATTCGGCGTGGGATGCGCCGCCATTGTTCTACTGTACAGGCGCCGGCTCTAGCGGTTAACTTCGTCACAACATCCTTCGCAACGTCTTTAATCGCTTCTCATACGCAGATACGCGTCTCGTTTCAAGATATCATCTTATGCTTTATCGCCTCTCATATGCACATATGTACATGGCTCATTTGAAGACATTGCTACTCGCTTTTTGCGTTCAAAGCAATGTCTCATTTGAAGACACTGCTACTCGCTTTTTGCGTCCAAGGTAATGTCTCATTTGAAGACAATGCTACTCGCTTTTTGCGTTCAAAGTAATGTCTCATTTGAATACACTGCCATTCACCTTTTGCGTTCAAAGTAATGTCTCATTTGAATACACTGCCACTCATCTTTTGCGTTCTAAGTAATGTCTCATTTGAAGACAATGCTATTTTCTTTCTCGCGTCTCACGTGAAGATGTCTCAATCGAATATATCAGCATTCGTATTTTATCATAAGCTCATTGTAATTATCCCCCAGTAGTCGTCTCGTGTGTGCGTACGCTAGCGTGAATGTACACGTGATACACGCGTGCACTCGTAATCACTGTATATAACGTGTTAACATAACTTCATTCCTTTGGCGATACCTTGTGATAATCATGTTCTAGACACTTGCGATGGGATCATAAATATATAAAGCTAATGATATGGATTAACTACTTCTGCAACGACCAATGAAATACACCCGTATTACGCGTTGCAAGTGTTACCTCTCAGTGTTCACTATATTTTCCTCGGTTTCTCATATGACCTCCAAGTGCTTCACATAGCTCCAAAGCTTCACGTATATTGAAGAAAACCATATAAAATTATGTAATAAATTTGTATATCCGTCAGTGCCAAAGTCTAATAGTAACAGCTGTACCAATATGTAAAAAATCACCGGCCATGTATATCAACCCATTGCAATAATCAAGGAATCGAATGCGCACAATATAGTGTCTATTGACAATAATAAACTTTTTTGTTTGTGTTTACAATTAAGTCACGTTATATCGTTTGGTGATTAAAAAACCAATTTTTTGTGATTATATCGTCTTGCGATATCCAATCCATACTATGAATAATTCCACTGCTAGGCAAAAACGTGGTTGCTACATATTAGAAAGTAAGACTATACTAGTGTAATACGGATTGTGGTACCTTCCAAGTCACCTAGCATAGTTTTGCCTGCTGCTGATTGCACCTGGTATCTAAAAAAGTTTCCATTGTGTCTCATGATATAAGATTATGCAAAGATGTAACTCAGTTTTTTTTTTATTGTACAGTAACAGCATCAACACTAAAAAAAACAGTGTTCAAAACACTCGCCGTCTACTTCAACGTTACAAGCATAAATAACCGCAGGCCTAAACAACACATGACATAACACAGGAAGATAGATATACAAGGAAGCACCTATCAGCGAGTGTCATTTTGTCTCTCAATCACAGTGAAATCCACATCGCTGGACTACACTCGACTCACATGTCGCGCATGGCTGCATTTAAACATTGTCATATTAGTTCAATGCTGTACACGTACGAAAACGCACGGAACACAGTTGAATGTGATAATGGTGAATTTCCACTCTACTGCCCTCACAGTCAAACACCGGTATGAAGAATTTCCAACGTGGAAACCCCACAATTCTCAGCAGCAACACACGCAATCTGATGCAGGAGCTGCTACCGAAGTCAATTTGTGTCCGTGACGACTCTATTCCGAACTATACCGCTATGCCATCGACAGTGAACCGGCCGTGAGTGCTCAACGCAACTACTACTGCTACGATCGTCGAGCCTTTGCTTGAATATTGACTCTAAATACTGTATTCGACGCTACTGACCGAGATCAAGCATGTTGGTGTGAAGCGTATTCCCGCCATTACACCCTGCCGCTTGTGGATGCAACCAACTGTTGCTAAATTTGGCTATCTCCATGCGACATCTCCATGCTTGTCTGCTTTCATGGCCACTATTTCACAGCTCCTATCTTGAGCGTGTACCTTCTCCAAAACTACTTCATGCGTACGGTCTCTACACACTGAGCATCTGTTTTCTCCGCCACTACTCCACTCGGCTTGCGCCACTCACAGTGCACATATCCCCAGCATCTGCCTTCTCCGTAAGCCTCGTGTCTCTATCTCGTATCTCGGTCGCTCCTGCGCGTGGCTCGTCTCTATCGCTCGCTACTACCGCCACTACTCCTGTGTCTGTATCCTGTGCGACTGCTTCGGTATGCGCAGCGGCTCGGCGTCGGGCATCGTCACCTCGTGCACGACGTCGTGGAAGCGGTAGAGCACGTGCAGCGACTTCTCCTCCGTCGGTGCCGGGTCGTAGAAGCCCGGCAGGCCGGCCTTCGTGCCCTCGTGCAGCACCAGCTTCGAGTCCTTCACCTGGCACTGCAGCGGCACGGTGACGTCGATCACCTTGCCCGCCGCCTGCCGACTCGTCTCGGTGACGAGCAGGCCGTACCACGCCTGCATGATGACGAGGCCGTGGCGCTGCGTCTCCAGCTCAAGCACGCGCGCGACGGTCGCCGCCATTAGCGCGACGGCGGCCTCGGCCTCGCGGCGCCGCTGCGCGAGCGTCGTCGCGTGCTTCTCGCGCGTCTCCTCGGCGTGCCGCCGCCGCTGGCGCAGCAGCCACGGGTGGTAGAGCAGCGCGCGCGCCGCGTAGTAGGCGACGAGCGGCGCCACCGTGCCGTACAGCACCGCCGCCGGCACGACGCTCTCGGCGAGGTGGATCGGGAACACGTACGTCTGGCTGGCGCGGTGCAGCTTCACCTTGAGCGTGACGCCGGACGGCACGCCGACGCTCATCGTCGCGCCGAGCGAGCTGTGCGCCGTCAGCTTGCGCTCGGCGCCGTACTCCAGCAGCGCGCCGAACGTGCCCACCTTGGCGGCGAGCCTCAGCTTCGCGTCGGCGGCTTCGAAGCGGCGCGTGTACGCGAGCATCGCGTACGACGTCGGCACGCCGAAGCAGAGCGACACGGCGGCGTGGTGCGTGCTCGTGTCCCACACGAGGCACGTCGTGAGCGACGCCGGCGAGCCCGCGCGCCACGCGATGTAGCCGAGCGTGTGCGTGTCGAGGTGGCGGCCGACGATCGCCGTCGCCGCGGGCCGCACGCCCGCCGCCGCAAACTGCATGCTGCCGGACATCGTCGCGAACATCTTGTTCGCGAACGTCGTGTACGCCTTGCAGTGCAGCCCCGGCCCGCTGCCGGCCGACGCGCCCACCTCGCCCCACGAGCGCGCCGACAAGATGCGCCGGAAGACGGCGCTGAAGCTGCCGTTGCCCGTGCCGTTGTGCACGCTCAGGCTGCCCTGCACGGTCACCGTGTCCTTGCTGGTGAGCATCGCGTCGATCGACTGCGTCAGCGCCATCTGGTTGATCTCGAGGTTCGGCAGGCGGCTGTGCTCGTACTCTTCCTCGTCGTCGGGGACGTACCTGCCGAGATCACGTGACGACAACAAGAGTCAGCGCGAGATATCATAGCATCTGCCATCACTACCGACACCTACGCTACGACACTTTGTGATACGCGCCCGCGGCCGGCTGTCCGAAATACCACGCGCTGGCTATGACATCGTGACGTCATTAATTTCGAAATGGGACTGTTATTTAAAGGTTATGACATTTTGATAATCATAACTATCTATGTTTTTGACAACGTGGCCCCCAAGGCTAGTCTGCTATGTGAAGCATTTCATTGAAGGAGACCGTTACAATAGGCTGCAAGCATAATGCCACTAGCAACACTGCTGTGGTGATGATGGACCATGTGACGGCGTGACGATGTGACCGTGCCAGCGTCTACGCGAGGACGCCATCAACGCCATTACCGCTGCAGCCCACATATCGCTCACACAACGCTATTACGTCCACCAACAACGCTGCCATCAACGCTGTCGCTACCCACGTAATATCACTCCCCCTCGTTACCTAAATAACACGCCTGCGTGCCCTCACTGCCTAAATAACACGCCTGCATCCCCTCACTGCCTAAATAACACACCTGCGTCCCCTCACTGCCTAAATAACACGCCTGCATCCCCTCACTGCCTAAATAACACACCTGCGTCCCCTCACTGCCTAAATAACACACCTGCATGATGCATCCCCTCACCGCCTAAATAACACACCTGCATCCCCTCACTGCCTAAATAACACGCCTGCATCCCCTCACCGCCTAAATAACATGCCTACATCCCCTCACCGCCTAAATAACACGCCTGCGTCTCCTCACTGCCTAAATAACACGCCTGCGTCCCCCTCACCGCCTAAATAACACGCCTACATCCCCTCACTGCCTAAATAACACACCTGTGTCCCCTCACTGCCTAAATAACACACCTGTGTCTCCTCACCGCCTAAATAACACGCCTGCATCCCCTCACCGCCTAAGTAACACGCCTGCGTCCCATCACCGCCTAAATAACACGCCTGCGTCCCCTCACCGCCTAAATAACACGCCTGCGCCCCCTCACTGCCTAAATAACATGCCTGCGTCCCCTCACTGCCTAAATAACACGCCCGCATCCCCTCACCGCATAAATAACACGCATTCATCATCCCCTCACCTCTCGAAGACGTCGGTGGCGTCGACGCCAACGACAAACGTGCCCTGCGGGTTGGTGCGCTGCTGCAGCCGCCGCTCCTCGCGCTCCTGCGCCAGCTGCTCGTACTCCTCGCGGATCTCCGCCGGCGTCTTCGTGCGCTGCACCACCTCCCAGCCGTCTGTCTCGAGGCCCTTCACGCCGAGCGTGTCGTAGATGGCGCGCCGCCGCTCGTCGCTCAGCACCTCGTGCGCGCGCTTCGCCCGCGTGAACATCTCCTCGGCCTTCACCTTGTCGTCAGGGTGCTTGTCCGGGTGGTAGAGGCGACTCGCGCGCCGGAACGCGCTGTTGATCTCGCTCGTGCTCGCCGAGCGTGGCAGGTTCAGGAACGCGTAGTAGTCGTCCTCGCCGATGCTCTCGCGCTGGAAGCCGTCGCCCTCGTCGTCGCAGTTCCCCTCAAAGTCCGACATGGCGTCGCTCGGCTACTGTTCTTCGGCTTCGTTGTCTGCACGTCGTCAAAGATCTGCGAGCGATAACGACGATAGTGAAGCGGCTTCGTGCGCGGTGTGGAAGGGAGTCACAAAAATTGACGGGAGCGCATTTCAACGATCATCATCGTTACGTAGGCATGGTCAAAGATTTGTCATTATCACGCTAAATTTTCTAATATTAGGCCTATACTGTGGGGATGCGATAAACCTTTATTACTAAAATGCATGAACTCTCATTATTACAATGTGGAGATTCTTGAACTTGTTTTGCTGTCAGCCACATTATGATATGGAGACCAGGGAAAATTTTATTATTATATCAGGGCTCTTCACAGGGATTTCAAAAGGCATGTTGGGCAATCAGACAATTCATCCCCAGTTGCTAATTAGAGATTAGGCATGTCGAATGTGAACCCAATACACAGATAAACTCGATCAATTCAGAGACATATTATATACATCAAGCTAGGACACCACAACATGAGATTATTAAAAGTAAACACACCTGGAAATTAAGGCACATTAATTAGGGAATGTTGAATATTTATAGATGTCGTAAATTAGCTTTAGCTTTGAAAGCATGTCTGAGGTGACATGCGTTAAAACGCTGGGAAGAATGCAGACAATGCCGGAATCTAACGACGACGCCTAACATCTGATGTTGTTGTCATTTTACTAATCTAGCAAAATTAATAGTTACCCATACAGTCTAGTGTGTGAATGTATGTGATGAATATGTGTGTGTAATAACTGTTGGTGCCATTTACTATACAACTATTGTCAAGTCTCAAAAGAAACTCCACACAGGATTTTAACCATGCAGAATGTGTCCATACCTAGCATTCTTGGCATTCCACAACCAACAATCTTGTAAGTGTTTGGTATCACAGAAGATAACTCCAAATGCCAAGTGACCTCATCTCCTGTTAAACAGAAACATAAATAAATATTTAATAAAAAAGACAACATTCACTTCTGCACCTTGGACATAAGAATGATTGATATGAAGATCTATACATTATACTGCCTTCACGCAACAAAATCCGCATTAGCACATTTTTGACCACACTATTTTACACCACCTTGTACTGCCACTTCCCATTCATAAATACAATGTAGGTGGAATGTGAAGATGGCATAGTTCTAAGTTTATAAGATGGGTTGTGTGTAGCTCTAGAACTATAGCCCTTTGCTCTGCCACAGGGCTACAGCACAAAGTATGTTTAATATGGGCAACAAAATTGCTCCCTCTGCTCCCACGAGGAACGGATCACAGAAAAAACTAGACAGAGTGCACTCATGGAGAGTGCATACCTCCGCCAGCGACATACGCCATACGCCTCACGAACACACGAATAACCCACGATATACGCCAGCGTACTGACATGTACACGCTGGCTTGCTGCTCGCGCACATGTACACGCTCGTTGGCTCGCTGGCTGACGCGCTAATATCGATCGCGCGAACACACGAACACACTAACACACGCACACGAGACCGAAAACATAACCTCCTCCAACTCCGTTGGGCGGAGGTAACGAGGGCAGCCTATTACTCTGACATGGGGGTGTGGGTATAGCACTGGCGCTGATACAAGGTTGCCAGGTAACATGTTTATGTTTAGAAAAGTGCCAGTTGGCTGCCTCCATGTTTTTGCATTTCGGATAACGTTACCCACGTACGCAAGCATTTGAACGGAATTTGCATGTAGTGGGAAGAATTTGAGGAGTAAATTAATAAATGCATGGGGTAAAGTTGTGAAACTGTTCAAAAAGTTAGGTAAGATGTCCATGTACTGATGACATGTAGATAAATAACTAGGCCTAAGTGTTTAAAAGCCCGATCAATTTGCGTACTCAGTACTGTGATCCGTTCCTCGTGGGAGCAGTTTTGTTGCCCATATTCAACATAGTTTGTGCTATAGCCCTGTGGCAGATCGAAGGGATATAGTTCTAGACCTAGGTTGTGTGTAGATGATGTAACAGTACTACTACTAACACTATGGCCCAAATTTCATTGCAGTATGTACTTATTTAACACAGGTGTGGAATGAGAAAATAAAAATGGCAAATAGTAAAAGTACCGGTAACGTTAATAATAATGACTTGATTTGCCAGATAATTATAAATTGTCCACTACAATTAGCTAGGCACCAACAAACTAGAAAACACGCCTAAATCTGAGCAATGTAGCCTACTCGGCATGTACGAAAGCATGTTGGACATTAGCTCTAGTACTATAGCCCGCGGATCGCTGCCGCAGGGCTATAGCACATGAGCGCATAGCTGTAATCTAAGCAAATGGTCGGACTGGTCTTAACAAAAATTTATCCCCAAAACGCAAAATGATCGGGCTTTTTAACACTTATCTATCAACATGGACATCTCACCTATCTTTTTGAACACTTCCACAACTTTACACCAGGTATTTATGCTGTTATTCCTCAAAGTCAGCACTTATTGAAATTACATTTTAAATCATGTGGCGTGCGCACGCGTAATGTCACCGGATATGTTGGCAAAACGCAAAGCAGCTATGGTGCATGTATTATTAACGGGGGTGTTCCTGATTGTGCTCCCGATTGTGCGCACATTGGCGCATCAGGGCGAGTTTACCCACCACCCCCGTTAATAATACATGCACCCTTTCACGCACAATAGCCTGCCTTGCGTTTTGCCAACATATCCGGTGCGCACGCCACATGATTTGAAATGTAATTTCAATAAGTGCTGACTTTGAGGAATAACAGCATAAATACCTGGTGTAAAGTTGTGGAAGTGTTCAAAAAGATAGGTGAGATGTCCATGTTGATAGATAAGTGTTAAAAAGCCCGATCATTTTGCGTTTTGGGGATAAATTTTTGTTAAGACCAGTCCGACCATTTGCTTAGATTACAGCTATGCGCTCATGTGCTATAGCCCTGCGGCAGCGATCCGCGGGCTATAGTACTAGAGCTAGTTGGACATCACGTATGCCCTACTACTATTACTGCTGGCACTAAAACATATACATAATACAGTTACTGAGCCAAAGATAAAAATGTGGCAAGGTATATGAGACACTTTTCGAGGCTAAGACATTAAACATGGTTAACTAGTTGCGTTAAAATTAATTAAATGGTATATATTTCAAACTTACACGATTTGACAGAACAACCTTCTCGCTATCAACAATAGAACATACTCAATGTCCAAACTGCATGCAGCGCCCCCTTCGTACAACTCAGGAAAGCTGGTACTGTAAAGCAAAGCTGTAAAGTATCTGAATACACTTACCTGAGGGTACAGCTTAGTGACAATATCGAAAACTGCTTACAACAGCATGAGGATGATGTACGGAAAAAAGCAAGGAAATACAGGGGAGCAATAGCTTCAAAGGCATTCTATAGTTTCAATAGATATTGGGTGGGTAGGGAGCTTTGGAAAGCAGTTGCAGTGCCTGCACTGACGTATACAAATGAAGCCTTAGTATTTAAATATAAAAAAGGAGGAACGTCCACGCTCCAAGCACTAGACAGGACTCAAAACCAGCTGGGAAGGGAGTTACTAGGGGCACCTTCTTATGTGGGACTGGCGAGTATTAGAGGGGAGATGGGATGGTCAATTTTTGAAAAGAGAGAAGCAAAATGTAAAATTAAATATTGGGCCAGGATAAAATATATTAATAATGAACGTAAATGTAAACAGATAGCGGAAGCAATGGCGAATTCAGATCAGACTGGAAGAAGAGAACTAGGTTCCTTATAACAAAGTTTGACTCGGATAGGAGTCTAGACGGGGGGTATTAAAGAATGGAATGTTAGAGTGGAAAGAGCAATTAAACAGAGTGGTAAGGCCTACTACCGTCTGGAAAAAAAGGGATAGAAAACAAGAGTTTGCTAAGATTGTATAAATAAAAAAAGACGCCTGGTAAAGAGTCCTTTTATGAGAATAGACTTGGGAGTAGCCTACTCTTTCAATGCAGAGCGGGGTGCTTGCCACTAAATAAACGAACTAGACACTGGGGAGGTGAAGATAAATTCTTAATTTGTGGGAAAGGAGAGTTGGAGACCCTGGAGCACTTTTTACTCAAATGTCCTGGATATGTGTCAGAGAGAGAGAGAGGTGTGTGCGCGCGTGTGTGTGTGTGTGTGTGAGAGAGAGAGAGAGAGAGAGAACCTGAGAGGGAGTGTGTATGTGTCTGAGAGAGAGAGAGAGGTGTGTGCGCGCGTGTGTGTGTGTGTGTGTGTGAGAGAGAGAGAGAGAGAACCTGAGAGGGAGTGTGTATGTGTCTGAGAGAGAGAGAGAGGTGTGTGCGCGCGTGTGTGTGTGTGTGTGTGTGTGTGTGTGTGT